TTACATTTTTTACTGTTTTGGAACGGCAATATTTCGTCATTAATCATAAGATGAATAAGATATGTTCCTTATTCATATGATAGATTCCTGATATTTGAGTAGAAGCTTTCAAGAAATACTTTTTTTAGAATTAGCTATTGATTCTTCATTTGATGAATTGCTGTTAGCACATTTGACAGGCCTCGCAGTAATGAATATTTGATAAATAGTGGACTCCGATAACACTTATCGTTTGTCAAGTTCTTTTTTTACTAGAAATAATTAAGAAGTAATTAATGTTTTATTAACTCTTGGGACTCTTTGAGATTTTAATAACAATTAAAAGATTACGATCGCACATTTTGTATCCTTTTGTAACAGCAATATTTCCTTATTAAATATCTTCTAATCATATCTGATTCACATAATAGGAAGATAGAGATTTTTGCGAAATACTTAAGTCTTCATATTTGACGATTTATTAGCATATCTGACAGTAATGGACATTTGATAGACAGTGGACAGATAGCGAAAGGAGGTCACTTTTCTCAATGTCCAAGATGAGGGTCCCGGCGCGGGGGCGCACCACAGTGGCTTTCACATTTTCTCTGTTGGCCCATATATATATTGTATGTACATGCGTACGCTAATAATGCATCGACACGCGATGAAAGCCGCGAGCGTTGTACGCCCGTAATTTCAGGCCTTTATCGATCAATTATTATCGTGCATCTAGAAATCTAGCGAAAAAGAAAAGGGACTCTGTACACCGTACGCTATCGATCCCGTTCGATGGGAGAGAACAGCCAAGAAAACGCGATGTTCTTTCCGTTATGCATCGTTAGTTTTTCATAAAATCAATTATGGCAATTACGCTGTACATTTCATGGTAGAGAAATTTATAACTGTATAGCTTCTTTCGCTGGCTACGGAGAATACGTATATATGCACGCGCAAATACCCAATACCCACGGCATTCATCCATTGCGAGGGCAAATTCCTGCACGTCTATCTCGCGGAGTCCTTGTAGCCTACAAATTGACGGCATTCGACTAACTGTCGGAAGCGAGGAGAGCACGAACTGACGTGCAGATATTGGATTTTAAATTATCATAATGCCGAGGTCGCGCGGAATCCCCCTCTAGAAATAAACGCGCGCGCGGGACGATAAAATAGGGGCCGTTGATCCAAAAGTGATCTTCGACCGCGAGAATCACGAGCGTACATCTGCGTACATCTCCTTTCATGGGTCTCCTTCGGGACACGCGGTACCGATTTTTTTCTGTCATACCAAAATAAGAGCACCCACGATTCTAAGACGATGGCGAAGAATGTGAAGATAAAGTCTAAGGAAGTCTGCTCTCGGAGATCGACAATTGTTTCTTACAATTGTAACAAGAGGCAATTATAATATTAAGTATTGTTAAAGATTGTACTATAATAATAATAATATAATTAATTAAATATACGCAGCGGAAAAATAGGATGTGAGAAATTTCATCTCACGAAACATCTCAAAAGTCTAATATGACTCTACACTGTTAAAAATTCGTAGTGTCAAATTATACTCAATTTCAGTCATTTTTAACCATTCTTATATAGGTCGCCATTGCTCTTGTTCAATACATGTCGTTAATTTAACTAAAGCAATAGAGTTAAAATAATACTGTTAAAATAATAAATTTCAACATACATGATAGTTAAAAATGACAAAATGTTATTTGACTCAAGGTATTGATTTAAATTTCATCCTTTAATATTCAACAGTGTAAAAATGTAAAAATTTGTCGTAATTATCGCAACTGATTCGCAGGCATTCCGATTCTTACATTCTAAACGGCAATTTAAATTCTTCGTAAAGTCATCGTGACTGGAAGAAATTTGTGGTACACGGTGCGCTCGCTTTAATGAGTGAATCTTAATGAAGTACAGACAAGGATTTCGCATTGGGGGCGCATATACTTCCTGGTATCCGTTGCGCCTGTGTAATAGGCCGGTTACTTAATCCTCGGCAACTACAAACCAACGTCATTTTCAGAAGTCAAGTCACGCTGGCCGCATTTGTCTAACTCCATCTCTCTCTTTCTCTTCTTGCAGCGAGCAGCGGCAGCGAGACGAACGGCCTCGGTGAGGAGACCGCGGCAAGCGGTGATTACGTTTCGCCGTCGGAGCCGAGCGGGCCGTATCTGGGGGGGCCGATGGTGATACGGGTCTATCCGGACGGCCGACCGGTTCCGGAGGACCAGAAGCGCCCGTTGCCGAAGGACGAGGACGCGGACGAGCTCAGATATTCCCGTTTGCCGTCCATCGAAGAGATCGAGGCTAAAAGCGGCAGCGTGTTCTACGGGAAAGGCGCGAACGAGCCGTCGATGGCCAAGAGGAGGACGTCCTTCGCGGCCGACATCAGCAAGAACTATCGGCGACCGGAAGTGCTGCGTCTTCGCGACCATCCGTTGCCCTACGAAAGGGTGTTTCGAGGCGCGTTGAACGAACGCAGAATGCGTTACTATTGAGGGAGATCTCTTCTTGTTCCCTTCTATCTGATACGAGATATCTTCCCGCGGAGTATGGCTCGCCCGGCTGCACCGCCTCGTGATAATGAGATTTTGTTGAAAAATAAATCGCCGTCGAGATCCTGCGCAGAGACAGATGACCAGCAGTCGTGCCTGCCGCGATCTCGGACGATACGTGGAAAACACGCGGGGAAAGTTGAAGATACAAGCGGTACCAGTCGCGGTCGCGCGGTCGTGGACGACGACGTAATAATAATCAGCTGTAATTACTAATTCATTGCGCATTTTAATTTATCTGATATCGTCGTTGCGGTAAGTGCAAAAGGGGAATCGTCGTACGCTATTTTTCGGAACCTCCGCGCTGTCGAGTATTAGAGTGAAAGACGTAGAACGAGGAACGCGATTGAAGAACTTCGTTTGAGGCAAGAATTTATATGAATCGCGTAATTGGGAAGAATTCACCGAGCCGTGAATTCTTCCGAATCGCATAAATTGGAAGCTTGACGATTGGTCGGTAATTAGAATCCTAGGATGTACGAGCGCCGAGAAAGATACATGTACATATTCGTACGTTGTCTCAACAACACGCATAATCCGACCATGAATATCATTTGAGTTCCATTTATTTAATTTCACATTCATTTATTATAATATTTATTTAATACTCAATGTGATTGTCATGACTCATGCAGAAAACATCGATGAAAGTAAGCTAATTGTCCCGAACTACGAGAATACAACCAATTAAAATCTTAGAAATTCTTAACACAAAAGATCACAGGTGTATTATTTAAATCTATTCCTGCTATTCTTCAACACAAACGATTTATCATATATTATAGTTCTTCTATATTTCGTCTCCATAAATTTAACGCGCATTACTTTTCTTTTGATATACGTGCGCCGTCACGTCGCATAAAGGAACTGGTGTACCTCGCTAAAAAATATCGTATTTTGCATATGAAATATATCATCTCAATAATCGTTGAATATTACATAAATCATTGTTTTATGTAATATTAACGTATAAATTAACACATAATAATAACCAGTTTGCGAAAAATTATTGCTTTTGAAAATTTCTACAGGCTAAGTGCAAATAGTTTGCACATTACGATAATTGTAATACTTAACGAATATCACATCTGTTTAATATTGACGCAAATCGTTTTTCGCGTAAAGGAATAACAGCATTTTAAAAAAATCTACATTACGCATTTACGTGACGATTACAATTGATTATTATATACTATATATATACACGCTCTCATTTTCGTCTTGTAAATACTTGAAATATTTGCCACTATTAATTTTAAGTACATATCAATAAGTTAGAATTAAAAGTGTGATAAAACATAAAACGTGTAATATATATTCGAAAGGCGGGATTAACGAGATTAAGACAATGTGATAAATTAAAATTAACGCGATGCATATATAATACATGTATAAATATCCATATACACAATATGCATGTACATATACACATACGCACATAATCCCGCTTTTATTGCAAGAAATTTAAGATGATGGAAAAACCCTTCTTTGTTCGCAAAGATAACAAACTTTTATTTTGTAATAATTATTTTTTAATGCTGCTTTAATGCTAGTTTAAACATTCTACACTTTTATATTTCAAAATTATCATTTTTCTCGTATGTCTTTTTATATAATGTAAAAGTTCCCAACTTTGTTATCAAGCGGGCCACATTAAAATCTTTGTAAAGCCGGAGAATCGGGTAAATTTTATTTTTGAAAATCATATAAAAACAAAATATCTTTATTTTAAAATTCTTTTGTATCATAAAAGTCTGACGTAGTAATTACCGAATTGCAGAGCCAAAGGCGCAATAAAATATACGTATATATAATGTCGAAATTTTTTAGCAGGCCGGATTCGGGGGCCGTACGTCCCTCTAAGGGGTTGGGGATCTCTATTTTAATGTATTAGCAAGTTGGTCTATTTAAATCCGTTCAAAAGTTGAAGTGATTGTTAACTTTGCTTTCATTCTCATATTTTGCGATAAATTTGTCAAATGAATATTTCATTGTCAGATAAATAAGTCAAATGATTAAATGTCTATTATCTTAACCTTTTCACAATTCCTACCTTTTATTAATTTAGACTATAAAACGCATACGATATATTTTCATGACAATTGTGTGTATGTTTGTATACGATTGCATACATACGAATAAGTGAAGATATACATTTATATGTATACGAATACGCTGCGCAGATATAGATTTAAATGCTCGTAATATTATTTTAGGCCTTGCGGTGATAATATTCTAAATAATAAATATTATATAAAAAAGGATAGTGATATCGAATAGAATAAATGAGATGACTAGAAAGATTATTAAGATAAGAGTTGTATTTTATTGCATTATCTTTTTACTTTGAAAACCTGTATACTGATATAACAAACCAATATATTTTAGTATTAATAGATATATATTATACATATTACAATTTACACATGTTAATTTATCAATTCGTTCAATATGTTCTTTTTGTGTGTATATGACATAAAAAAATGACAATACGATATGAAAGATATATTCAATAAAATACGTTGTAAAAATTATGTATATGTTTATGTTTATATATGTATAATAATTAACATATTTAAATTTATAGTTTTTAAATTTGGATATAAGTTTAATTTGAAGATATAAACAACTCAAGTATATAGCAGAGTGACATTAAAAGATATTATCTATTTTGATCTATATTAAACATCACTTTATCGTCATTTAACCACACTGATATAGCGTGTGGTCTAATGAAACAAGTGCCTACTTTATAAGTAGGCCGTACTATAAGTTACTATACGTAACTTATTTATATTATATGTTAAATATCTAATATAGCCCTCTTTCCCTCTCTCACTTTTTCTCTTCTATCACTTTCACACTTCTCAGACAGCACAATGTCCAAAATCGGGACACAAGACGTCTTTTAGCCGTCTTCGTAAGACATCTAAAAGATGGCTTTTAGACGTCTTATGTCCCGCTTTTGGACATGTGTGCTGTCTGGGTTACTTCAAATAAAAGATATGTATCTCCTATCAATTTAAAAATCCGAATACGAGACAACAGGCCTTTATGGAAAATTTTGTTAGCAAAACGAATAATATTTGGGGAACAAAAGCAACAGAGAATGTTTTATAATTTTTAAGTATCTTAACGACGACGGTATATCGTCTTTTATGATATGCGCGATCACCGCGCCGCAAGAACGATTGCGACGAGATTTTTACAAATTACACGATACAATTTAATGTTAATTTTCTATAAAATAGAGATTAGGAGGAATAAAAAAGCACATACAAATAAATTTGAAACATTTGTAAACCTAACGAATTACGTGAACGAGCAAATTACGTGTCTGTTTTTTAACGAAAAACGGAAAATTGTATTCGTGGATGCAACATTTCAGCTATTCGCACTCTCGATTCATACGCGTTTCGAAGCAAGCTCGCTCCCTCATTCGCGATCGTTTGCGATCGCGACTAGCAAAGTGAGAAACGGTACGTCAAACGCGCGCGATCGTTCTCTTCAATCACTTAATTAATTCCCGCAGAGAGGTTCAAGTTATTCATTGAAGCGTCTTCCCGCGGGATTCACGCATTTGAAAAAATCGACACGGAGACAGGAGACGTGAATTCTAGGAGGTTATCGTTTCACTGCGACACGCGGAACAACGATCCCATTAAGATTCGGATATATCGCGCTTCAAATCATTTATTTCTTACATTATGTACATATAATTCACTCACCATTCAATCACGGCGCACCGCAGGAAACCCGCCAAATCACAGCCGGCAGAGTGATCCGTACGGCGTCCAGCACACGGCATTCGACGTTCATTTCGTCTAGCGACGGCTTCTCACTCTTTTCAGTTGACACCAAGAACGAACGAAATATTCGGCGTACGTTCAGCTTGCAACACCCGATATAACCGAATTTCTTTTCGTTCGCGAGAAAGGAATTACACGACCGACAACGTCTCGCGATCCGACGTTGAACGTGTCACGTATTACTTGCGCAAATGCGCAGCGCAGGCCGTTGCGAATGCGCCGCTTGCGCGCGCCGTGCCGCCGCACAGTCGGGCGAGAAGTCGAACGCGATTGGTTCGTGAGTCGAGCCCCCGGATCTGGCCAATCACGTGCGCCGCCGGCGCGGCGGCTCGATGCGGTGACGTAGTAGGCACCGCGCAGTCCGTACCACTCCATACTAGTCCATACTAGCGGCGCGACCGTTGAACTTGAAAATTGCGTACCTCGAAGATCGGCGCGTTTTCGACGTTGTTTCTGACGACGAGCGGACGTGCCACTTGTTTCCATCAACGCTCGGAGTAGCGTTACCCGCGTAAGTCACTCAGTTATCATTCTCCGGAGGAATTTCGCACAGGTAGGAAGTGTTCGTGCTTCGCCGCGCGCTCGTCATTCGTCACCGCTTCGTGTGCTGTTTTCGGAAAGCGCTCGTTTCGGCGATTGGCACAGAGATTCTTCTCTCTGATTGGCATTCCTGCTTCCTCGTTTCGCGGGCGTTCCTTGGCCGCGGGAATAATTGCTACGCGCATATGTGATTATTCATATATTTATATATTCTATTATTTTTCATGATGATTGCAAAGTATAATGCATAGCAATCTGTAGTTTAAATTTCTAAAATGTATAGGGTGATATACATTAAGTTTAAGTGAGAATTTTAATTTTAGGCAATGTATAGCAATTTGTATTTTAAATTTATAAAATGTAGAGGGTATATGTATTTTAAATTTCGACACTCCAGAAGCATATATATTTTAATTTTCTCTTGTATTGTATGTGTTTTCTCTCTCTCTCTCTCTCTAAATCCAAGACGCTTAAGGCTGTTTCACATTCGAGATGCATAAAGTCTACAGATTTCAGAGAGGCGAATCGACGGGACAGATTCGTTATACGTCTCATGTAAACGCTTATCCCAAGGCGCACCTGTTACGCGCACGCCTCTGACTCGTCTAGCAATACCTTCGTTCATGTTTCAACCAAATAAGGCGAAGGGTGGAACAAGTATCCCACCATATCCCACACGTGAGTGTGGGTGCGTGTGCGTGCGTATATTGTGTGCATGTGTGCGCGCGTGTGTGTGTGTGGTATGTGGTGTGTGTGTACGGGAGGTGGTGTCGCGAGCTATCACACGTAGCACGTAGGCTTGCCGTGGACGTCGCGCGTCCTCACGTCACACACCGGATCCCCTCGCTCGGTTTCGCTGTTTAAATATCGCTGGGCGCGCAGAGTCACAGGGTGCACACCGGCGAGATGTCGTACGAAACGAGTAAGTCGCGGTGCGAGAAAAAAAGGCATCACGCGTATGTACCTTTCGCCGAATACCGTACCGATTTCGAAGCCGCGCGAGGTGGTGTTCCTCTCTCCTCTCGCGTTTTCCGGTTTGCTTATCGCGCCGGTCGGATCGCGAGGCGTCGCGACGCGCCGGGACGACGGAAGAAGGTTTCCTCCGCGATTTCCTTCGCGTCCCTCGCTGCTCCGCGCATTTATTTCTCATTTACTTCTCGCTCCTCTCGCCCGAATACGAAGCGGTTGTCACACATGTGCCGTGTGTGACACGATACGCCGGACGCACGGTTGATGTCAGTGTGCATATACAGGGTGCTCGGAAGTTATTGGCGTTCTCACTCTGAGGATTCGTTCTAGGCGGATTTGGAGTAGATGAGTGTTCCGTTAATGTCGAGATTGGGACACCTTCCTTCGCGAAATAAAAATATAGCATCCGGTGCAAAGGAATAATAAGTTTATTGCTTAATCTTGAACGATTTTTATTTTATCTTCAATTTTTGAATCTTTGTTATAAAGATTTTTTGTATTGAAAATAAAGGAAAGTTGATTCTCTAATTGAATTTTTGTGAAAAATAAAGTAAGAATGTGTCAAGACTTTTGATACACCCTGTACATATACATATACACGCTAGTCACAAGTAAAAAAAAAGATGATTCACAAATACTAAATCAAGGTTTAATTAGACCTTAGATAAGATTCACTCGACATTGTCCTCTTATCAGGTTGAAGTAAGATATAAAAATGGAAAAATATTTTGCAGTAGTTGATTATATATAATGTAGATATTAAATATATACACAAAAAGTTATTTAATAAAATAAAGAATTTTTTTTTTATTTTATTTATTAAAAGAAATGGTTGTAAAACGAAGGAGGGAAAGAGAAGAAAGACATTATTATTATATATTCAGGCTAATGTATATTACTTTTAAAATAACTTTTTTTTGCAAATTGTGTTATTAATGCGCTTATAAATTTCTTTTACATTATCACCTCTGGAACTATAGCACGATGGAGAATAAACTGTAGCTTGTTAGCGCTCAAAATAATTTGAAATATTAGCAGCTGGATCCGTGCCAATGTATCAAGGAAGAGTATTTTGGTTCCAGCACCTGGATGTATTATGCGTTGTTATGCGTGATATTTGATCTCTTCTGTGCTTGTATTATATGACAATATTTTCCCGATAAACTTGATCATTTTTACTCATTATTTAATATATTGCGAAAAATATCTAATATAAATAAATAATACAGCAAATAATATACACACAATTTTTATATATAATTCTTTATATATAAATAATATAGAATATAAAATAATAATTTGATGTTATTAAAATGACGATATTGACAAACTTTATCTATTGTGATTTTTAGAGAATCTGTAATTTAAATTACGTCTATAATATATATTAGTATGAGATAATGCTATTAATATTCAGATATTTGGATATTTAGAATATTAATTGACTGTCCAATTATTTGACGTATTATTTGAATATCCAGTATATATTTAAAGATGTTTCCAGATAATTTCCTACTGTTTCCTTATTTTACAATTTTTGGTTTTTTATATTATAGAATATATATTAGCTGCATTACCGAGAACCCAACGGGGACAACCTCTTGTACTGGGTGGCGATCCCAAAGGAAAGAACTTTTTATATACCAATGGTAACAGTGTCATCATTAGAAATATTGACGTGAGTTTCTATACTATGTTTACTATTATCCAATAAGGACATTCTAATTTGCGTCTCTCTGAACATTGCAGAATCCAGCAATCGCAGACGTTTATACAGAACATTCTTGCCCCGTGAATGTTGCCAAATATTCTCCTAGCGGTTTTTATATAGCTTCGGGAGGTATGTCGTATTTTATTTGTAATATTTATACATTACAAAGATCTTTAATTACTTGAAGATTGTATGTATACAACGCGGAAATTATCATAAAAATTATAAAAATACCGTAATAATAATATGGTGCGTGATATTTGTTACTCGTAATTTTTGATTATGCGTTATCACTTTTTTATCTAAAGCTTTGTGATACATAAGATGTTTCACAACAATCAAACTCGTTTTTCAACTTATTCCTTTCTATATTTAATCTTGATGTATGAAGAAACTAATGGAGGATTTTATTTCAGATCAGTCGGGTAAAGTACGTATTTGGGATACAGTTAATAAGGAGCATATATTAAAAAATGAATTTCACCCTATTGGTGGACCCATTAAAGACATCGCTTGGTCACCGGATAGTCAGCGCATGGTCGTGGTCGGAGAAGGAAGAGAAAGGTATATTTTGCTCAATAGAATGCTAAAGAAGATATGCCATTGAAGAGAAGGACCAAGATAGACCAAAGAAGTAATATTAACATGTTAATAATTGGTCTTTCGAGCAGATTTGGACACGTCTTTATGGCAGAAACAGGGACGTCGGTGGGCGAGATCTCTGGTCAAAGTAAATCTATCAACTCGTGCGACTTTAGACCGGCTAGACCATTCAGATTAATAACTGGAAGTGAAGATAATACTATCGGTATATTCGAAGGCCCTCCATTCAAATTCAAGTATGTATATCCACAAAACTCAACTCAGTCTATATTCCGTGTTAAGGAATTCTAATTTTTCACGTGACTCATTACATATTTTATCTTAGGATGACAAAGCAAGAGCATACTCGTTTTGTTCAAACCGTACGTTATTCGCCTGACGGAAATCTGTTTGCTTCCGGTGGATTCGACGGGAAAGTATTTATATATAATGGAACAACCTCTGATTTTGTTGGGGAAGTAGGATCCCCTGCACATCAAGGTGGAGTCTACGGAGTATGTATCTAACTTCGATGTAATGCAATGTGACATAAGAATATGACAAATTATTTATAATAAATGTAATCAAACAATGCATTTATATTTACAGGTTGCATGGAAGCCCGATGGTAAACAGTTATTAACTGCCTCCGGAGATAAAACTTGTAAGCTGTGGGACGTAGAAACACGTTCTTTAATTACCGAGTTCAACATGGGAACGACGGTCGACGATCAACAAGTTTGTAACTTGTATAATCAGTTTAAAAGATATACGGAGGCAATAAATCAAAATAATTCGTGTATTTTCAGGTGAGCTGTCTATGGCAAGGAAATCATTTATTATCCGTGTCACTTAGCGGCTTCATCAACTATCTTGACGTCGACAATCCTCAGAAGCCTATAAAGATAATAAAAGTAATCCTTCTATTGATCTCTTTCGAAGTTCGAATTGATGAACTGCTCTTAATATCTTTTTCAATATACCAATTTTGATTCAATATTCTCTCTTCAGGGCCATAATAAACCAATAACGGTTCTAACATTAAGTCCAGATAGAAGTACGATTTACACCGGTTCTCACGATGGCTACATCACCAATTGGAATGCGGAGACAGGGGAAAATGATCGCGTACAAGGGCACGGTCACGGTAATCAAATTAATGGGATGAAAGCCACAGGTAACTTGCTCTATACTGCCGGCATCGACGATACTTTAAGGTCAATCGATATTGCGACAAATGCGTACGCGGAGACCAGTGTGGTAAAATTGGATTCGCAACCACGAGGTCTGGATATATATAACGATATAGTTGTGGTGGCCTCAGTTCGACAGGTAGGTCAAATATTCACAAAGGTTCACATTCTCGATTTCACAGATTTATCTAACAAATCCTAACAAAATATTTAGCAAGCTTGAAATTAATTCAGTGTTGTAGACATAGAAAAAATATTTTTTTATGCTATTGCTAAATATATTCGAAAATGCGATAAGCATCTTTGTGGACACTTTGCACATGTAAATTTCGCATAACAACGATGTTATATTGATAATTGCGCTTTGCAGATCGCAGTTACACAGGATGGTAAAAAGCTGTCAAGTCTATCGATCAATTACGAACCATCGTGCGTGTCAATTAATCAAGAAACCGGAGACGTAGCTATTGGATCTACATCTGATAACAAAGTTTGTCTCTTATTTATATATTATACGAAAAATGTAAAAATTTGTTCATGCTATTATTAATCTTTGTACAATTTACACGTAGGTATATATTTACGAGTTTTCGGATACTACATTAACTCAAAAGACTGAACTAGAACACCTGGGTCCAGTTACGGATGCCTCATATAGTCCCGATAATAAATATTTAGTTGCCTGTGATGCAAACAGAAAAGTTATACTGTATGCCGTACCAGAATACAAGGTAATATACAATACTTTATATAAAGGACAATTTAAAATAATTTAGATTCAACTGTGCACAGCTAAAAATGTAGCTATAAGTTTTGTACGATTGTGTATTTGTGTGTTATATATATGCTATCAGTAATATTGTGATAGAAATACCATAAATATAGTAAGAATAGTAATAACACTCCAGACTCTTAACGTTTCCAAATAGATTCATATTTTTTGTTTTTAACGTCATAATTCAATATGGTTGTAATAAAAAGTCAATCGTAACAGATAATTCTACTTACGTAGAGAGAACCACTCTTATATTTCTTTACTAAATTTAATTGTGATGCACTATAATATGTTGGCAATATTTGCAATGTAGTAATTAAGCATAAAGTAATCATGCTTTTTTAAATGAATTAATCGCTATTAATGGCTTGTTATTGTGCTTATTGGATTAACACAGAGGGTGAGTAGCATATAAATGGAACTAAATATTTGTATACTCATACAAATATAGTTTAAAAAGAACATGATTTTAAAGACATAATCTAAAAGATATTGATTTAATTTTGCAGCTTGCGCATAATAGAGAATGGGGCTTCCACAATGCAAGAGTAAACTCTGTCGCGTGGTCTCCAAATTCTGACATGGTTGCGAGCGGTAGTCTTGACACGACTATCATCATCTGGAGTGTGACAAATCCAGCAAAACATACCATCATCAAAAGTAAGCGTAGCAAATTCCCATTTGTAAACGGATTGCAATTAACAAACATTCACGTGTTTTAGATGCTCATCCTCAGAGTCAAATAACGCGCTTGGTCTGGCTGGATGAGGAAACCTTAATCTCCGTCGGACAGGACTGCAATACTAAAATATGGCGTATAGAAAAGATATAATTAACTTTTGGAAGAATTTATTGCCACGTCTAAGGAAACTCAATTTTGGAGGCATTTTATTTATTTCGTAGTCTACGAATATTGTATATTATTTTTTAATACAATTCTTGATATATGATTAAAAAATTATATTGCAATCTCTTTTGCACCTTTTTTATCGACTTTATTAATAGAATAATTCACATCCCATATAACTAAAACCGCAGTTCTCGCGCTGCAGCTTCATTTTTGAACATATGTAGAGATATTGCCTTTGCACTAAGAATCACACGACTTATCTAATTTGTTTTTATTAAAACGATGTAACAATAACAAGAAAGCGATAACAATTCGAACATTAAAGGTCTTCAGGAACATGATCACACTTTACTTTGTACACTTAACGAAGATGTTATGACTTGTCTTATCATTAATCAGTCCAGTGCTGCTTTTAAAAATTCAACTATGTTCGTAATCTATCATTCATAGGTAGGCATGTTCATTCTATGAACTTTGTCGCTAAATTATTCTCTAATTCAACATATCTAGAACAACGCTCTATTATTTTTAATATTTTAAATACATTTAACAAAATATCTTTTTGTCTCAATCTCTTTTTCTTTCTCTTTTCGTAATTTAACGAAAATTTTAAATTTTTAATAGAAAGGTATCCTAGCGAGGGTTAAAATGTCTATATAGATTATAGACACATAAATGTCTATATCGAATAGTAGTGACTTTATCATCATATTATTGATGATTTTGACGTATTATACCGTGGACGTTTTTGAGAAGAAGCTACCGGGTGCCTGTAGGACACGTGTTTCCTAAGTGCGTCTCGCGATCGCGATACATGCGAACACGATGTGCAGCTGTACGAGCTATTGCTATGCGTCTCCATGTGTACTCGCAAGTTGTACTGATTACTCAATTGTTTACCACAGATAAGACAAGTGACACTGGATTTGTTGTAAGTCTGGGAAGTTCTATTGGGTGCAGACGCCGTAAGCAACTTGAAACTCGCGTCCCACACGGCTGGCGGTGGTTTTACATCTTCTATAGGGGTAACTTGATCCTCCACGATCGACGCTGCCTCGTCCGCTATATTCTCTGAGTAGCCTCTATCGATATACTTATTAGCAGATGCGTTAACAGGAACAGACGTTTTCTCCCTTTGGTTTAGCTTCGCATTTATGGAGTAATATGGCTTCGTCTTAACGCAATACGGTATACTTTCTTGATCGTTGCTAGGCTCGTAATCCTCTAAGTTATCCATTACTTTAGGCAAGGGTACTGATACCGATTCTGATGATCCAGTAGCCGTTATATTGTCTTTCGACTCCGTCTTTATTATCTCTTCGTTCGATAGTCTTTCCTGAGGATGCACTACTGACGATTGCACATACAAGCCGTTATCCTGTCTCGAATTTTTCTGAAATAAAAAGACATGCATAATCATGTAAATTACATTAAATAATTATATTTTTTCCACTAAAAACACCATTAAAGACAATTATTTTAGAAAAAAAAAAAACGATCTAAAAGTGTATTAACTATGCGGCGTCATACTCTTTATTGCCTATGCATTTATATTAAAAGTATGTTAGGTTTTACAATAATATTAAGTAAAATATATCATACTATTATAAAGATTTATACAAGAATGCGAATTGCTTTTGATAATTGCAGCAAACGTATTCTCTAACTTTTGTCAGAGTACGGTATTGATGACATACAACGATGAATGTATCCTTCAAAATTCAAGAAAACAAGCTAAAACATATTCTATATATATTATACAACAGGTTATGCATTGCACGTTAATGATCTATTTAAAATCGATATTAGGATATATTACTTAAGGATATTTAGCATGATAATTTTTAAAACAATTAATAAATTTTGTTCTTTCAGTTTATATTAATACTTCTACAAATATATATTTGTTAAACAATAATAAGTATTCCTAACAAAATATCTAATTTTATATAAAAAATATTTAGTCAAGAGTTATTATTACTAAATTCTAACTGTTTAGCACATAAAAATCCAAGATCGTTGACTATATCTGAAATCTATTTACAAAACTTCTTTATTTTTAGGTTTTTATGCGTTTCATTTTTTCTTTTTTTTTTCCTTTAGCTAATAACGTCTTTAAAATTTGACAAATTAGTGCTAAACGTTTGTTATCATCACACTTGACTAAACTGTTAAGCATTATTGTACTGCGAAAAAAAAAACACATAAGTGTTGTATAAAATCGCCGTTCTAACTTCGGTAATATATAGTTTTAGTAATTTAGAGATTCATGGAAGAAGCTATTTTAGATATACCTGTAAAGTCATTCTATGGGGTAAGGTTCCATGGGATGCATCCACTTGCATTTAGTTGCAACACACACAACGATCTTGATCTCGTGGATATCGTTTTTATTCATTATCGTTCCTTCGATGCATGTACGAACATAATATGTGTAGCGGTATAATTCCTTCGTGAAGTACTTCTTGAGGAACGACAGTGAATGTGTTTAAGTAACCTGAACAAAACAACACGATCAGGATAATATAAAAAGATTAAGTGAGGAACAAGCAAACATGAATTTTTACTTCGTTCTCCGTTCTGCTGAATAAATACGAAAGAAATTGATTAATCTACGACCTTTGTAAAAGTATATTTGCGACAGTATTGCGGCAATTCTGTAATTCTTTTAGGTACATTGGTATCAGACATGCATGTTACCAGGATAGCATTTACAATAATATATATAATATACTGTAGTACATAGAATTTATATCACGATTTACAGATAAGACGAATTCTATTTAATAGATTTGCTTACAACTCTAATAAATGCTTACAACACATACTGCTATCGCATATTAGATTATATCTTTAATATGCAATGTGTTATAGTTTAGAAAAATTGGAAAATAATATATTGAGTATATTGACATATTCCATTAAGAAGCAATATTATTTATGAGCTATTGAGTATATAGATACTATTAATTAAATATTACAATGCATAAACAGTTGTATATCAATGTTAATGAAAAAAAGGGAGAAAGAATGTGAAAGGAAAATGCATTGTTGTTTAATATGGTGCAACTTATTAATAAAAAAAAAAAGATTGCATAAATTTCGCACGGCTATATATTACATACTGGCTATATTGCTGAACGTATCAACAATACAGTTATTTTATGCACATTTGCAACAGACATATTTGTGAAAGATAAAATGTTTAATATCTATCTGTAAGGAATAGTAAGAACTATTAAGAGGAATCATATTTTTATGTAACGGCGCTTAAGAAACACATGCTTTGTTATAAGCAATCAAAAATTTTTGTTTGAGAACAAGCGTATTAAAATGATTAAATATTATTCATGCTAATTACCTTAAGTACTAAAAAGAAACACGCCAGTAATATAATAAGAAAATTGCGGTTTTTATTTCTGAATTATAGCGTAGTATAATCATTATATATTTATCAATATTATCTACTTCTTATGCATAATTAGCGAGCCTGCAAGTATACTCGACCTGACCTAATAATAATAATGAAAATCATATTTCCATGATTTGTATGTCTCAAATACACAAATCATTACTATCTCATTTTGGAAATTAATACAAAAAATAAAAATTGGTACACAATATGCAACTAGAATAAATAATTATGTCATTACTTTAGATATTATTATTTGTTTCACAATTAGGTATAAAGGCAAAGAATTAGATGTACAATAATTTTCATAAACTGTTTTATATGACGCCAGAAGTGCTGATATAAAAAAATAAATTACAGGCAAAAAATGAAGAGGTACAATACATTCAGAGAAAACACAATATAAATACAGAGAGTATTATATAATTCTTTTTTTACACAATATAAACTTTTTTAATACTTCAAAATGGCTCCTATATTTTTTAACGTTACTTAACAACACAAGAAACACTTACCCCAGCCATATCAGCTAATCCACAAATGTGCAATGTGTCAGCCATAGCTAAAAGTGCAGGTAATTGCTCTTGATAAATATTCACTTCTCCATTATACATAAACTTGACCAGAGCGCACAGATTTGCATATTCCATGCCTGGTAGCACAATGACCGGATGTTGCAAGGAGTTCAAGTCCTAAAAATTCATTCGTAAAGTTCTCATCTGATTCTCAGTAGAAGTTTAAGCTACGATTTGATCACGATACATATTTGTGATACAATATTGACTTGAAATAATTTAGAAAAACATAACGTTTAACTTATTTAAGCGATAAAATTAACAATCCTGAATATTTCCATTCTTGCACTGTTAGATGTTTCTACTTGTAAAAAAAAGAAGCACAGAAGTAACGAAAATAATATAAATATTTAATATTAATATACGATAGTATTTAGAGTTCATTGAAAATGTATAAGAAATTCATACGTCTGTTATATCGTTAACAGATCGATATGTTATTCGTTTGCATAACATAATCGAGAGACACTTTTTATTTATATATACCTTAAAGAGTTCTTTAAAATAATAACTACAAGCCGAGAGTATGATTCTGTGAGCATGAATGTGTCTACCCCCGGCGCTGAGCGTAACGTCTGTCAGGTGACCTCCATCCAGCAACTTTGGAAGCGAGCTCAAGAGAGTATTTTGAAAATTATGCCATCGCAAACAGAACTGTTGACCTTCCATATTGCTACCTGCTGTAGGAAGAAAAGGATTCTATTAAAATTCCGCGTTTCACAAGGGAGGAAAGTTGATCCAGGATTGAGTCTTAATGACTGCATAAGAGAGAAAAGAAAAACAGAACAGAGTGCCAGCTCACAGCAAAATATATGCAACTGAGCTTTAAGAGACATGTAATTTTCACGGTTGTACAAAATTGTTCTTTCGCGGAGGCGGCATCGCGGTGAAGGATACCTCGTCACACGATATTCAGTTCGATATCAGTCTGTACTTATTCACACGCGCCCAACGACATTAAACGTCGCCCGCGTAATCAAGGCAAACGTAACAATTCGACCCTCTCGTCGTACGGGGTGAAAGGTTAAAACGTTACGAGAGCCGCGAAATTGCAGGGTGCGAAAGGGGATTCTCCGCTCGATTCGCGAGAGAATGGGAAATCTGAATCTACGTCGCGGGATCGCGAGATCGCGACGTAAGGGAGGTGGCGCCAGGCCGAGAGACACCGAGGGACACAATACTATTTATTTAATCAGGCTCTGGGCAGGTTCCAGCCAAATCTATTATTGTACTCAGGTATGGCTGGAGGAAAAGAACGGCCGTTCGCGACGTCCCCGCGATCCGCGACGATAGCCTCGGCAGCGCCGATCCGGGGACGTCGTTATGTCGATCCGCGTCGGAAGATCGGCGGGAGGACCGAGAGCCCGCGTCCGTCGTGCCTTACCTCGTGAAAAATCGCTCGTCCGCCGCAAAACGACCGTTCCCAGCGCGACACTGCTCCACTTCACTTCACTGCTCCACTGCTCCTCTCTCATCTGGCGAGCGCCATAATCGCGATTGGCGCGGACCGCGCGGCAATGCGGGCAATGAGAGAAGCACGCTGAGCGTGTGACCGACAAAGCGGTTCCAGCCATCTGTCGACGTCGCCTGGAAACGAATTCACCGCCGTTTGACGCTTTTTTCGACCATTTCTTGAAGGCAGGCTAACTTTGAAATTTTGCCAATGGACTAAATTTATTTATTGGCCGCAGGGGGAAGTGATCCGCGCAGTTCCTTGGGCTTAACGTACCTACGGCAATACCGAGTTCCCAACACCGCGGACATACACGAACAAATATACATACATTCATACATTTACACAGTTTTGAGTTCAAAGTTATAAGAGTTTATGAGTTTTATTACGTGGTTAACTTCTGTTTGGGACGCTTTTATTGAGGCGTCCATGTTGATTTGGTCGAAGTCCCCAGTAAAACAGGAACGTCACATCCACGTCGAATCACGTAATTTCGTCGAATTCACGTCGAATCCACGTAGCAATAACGTGGATCCACGTACTGTTTTACTGGGGGTGTCTTTTGTTTTGATGTGATGCAATTTAGATTTCGGTTTTGCTACTACGACCACATGGGTACCCCCACGGTCTTTTCTTTATTTGAATAAAAAAAAAAAAAAAAAATTTATTTATTGAAATTTATTTCCAATGGACTAATAATCACTAATCAACGATTAATAAGTTAATCGGAGCTTGGTAGAAGTGGCCTTTAGAGTTAACGAGTTAGATCACCTAAAATTCGCGCGCAAATAACAAAGAAAAATCATTAAAAAATAACTGTTCTTTTACAAAAAGTAAAATTATGATTAGATTATATATACAATAGTCTAAATACGTATAATTTTATATATAATTATATTTTACAATTATTACATTTACATTATATGGGTAATTTTTCTCATTTTCTCAAACTTCACTCTCTTTGTGAAAAAAAATTTTCCTTTTAATTATTTTTTAATTTTTATTATTTTTCATGTATATGCAAATAGAGATATATTATACAAAAGAGAAAAAAATATATATGGACATGTTTTATATATAATTTATATATTGAAAATTTTTTCCCCCGAGTAATAAAAATTCACCATCCCTAATCCTTTTTTCTCGTATGTTAAACGATAAAAAAGAATTGATAATTCTATCCATGTTAACGAATTGCTACAAGGATTGCTCGATAAGTTAATCGCCGATTAACTTAATCAGTGTTCAAATCGGCAAAGGATGCTTGCAAAATTCCGAACTGTATAATTCATTATGTCTCTAATCTAATCTCTCTTTCAATTCATTGGAGCAACAAAAGATTATAATTCCATCCACGCAAACAAACAGTAAAGATATTGCTTGATAAGTTACTCGCTGATTAATTAATCAGAATTTTTAGTCTGAATCGTTCCAAAATCGTCCTTTCGTCGTTACGTCATGTTGCATTTTTTTGCATGCAAAGTGAAATGTATGGCTGAAAGCTAGACTAGCTATGCCTTATCCTACTGTTATAGAAGTTATATTTCTCTATAATGCAACATGAAATGGGATAAGGAGTATTAGGTAAGATAGTGTATTAAATTTTTGTATATATTATATTTTTTATTACTTATTTTATTTACTTTACATATTTATTCTTTATAGTTTTAAAAAACTTATGTTTTATTAAAAGATGAAATATAAATCAACCATTATTTATAAATAATTTAATATTATGCTGTTCATCAATGTGTAGAAATTTTCTTCAGCAAAAAAAATTTGTATGACTAATTTAAGAAGATAAGCAACGTACATAAAGCATTTAAAGTTTATTTATACGGATGCAGGAACAAATTTTTGAGAGTTATCTTTTTCTGTTATTAGTTCGTATTAGAAGATAGTAGATGGCGTAGTAATCGTAGTATTCTGATAAGAATGTATTCTGATAAGTAGAGACACGGTAGGTAAGCGTCTCGCGCCAAGTTCTGAATGTACATGGACGCAGTGTGACGAGTGACGATAACAGGAGCATTACAAGACTGTCGGACTGACTGATTATTGAGGATATCTGCCTTTTGTTAATTAAAAGAATATCAGGTAATATTATATTTATAATGGACAATTAATTACTAAAACAATATTTACATGTATATTAAATAACTAAAAGCACATTATCTTATATGTTTTACTTTTATAATAGTATTTATTAAGTAGAAATTTGATTAACATAAGCATATCATTTATTGATGACTGATTGGTTGTGTATTAAATAAATTGCTTCTTTTTTTTTCAGATATATATTGAAAATTCTTTTAAACTTGTTGACGTAACACATAATTTTTTGAGTAAAGGACAAATATTTGTAAACCATTATGCATTGGGTCAAGATCTCATGTATTTTGTGCTTGTTTGGATGTTTTAAAGACTTTCGGCCTTCTGAATCGTTTATAACCGATTATTTGACTGGGTGGAAAAATTTTACAGCCAGTGAAGTTAGTTCAATGAAGTGATTAAATAGATATGAACGCGCGTTTAATTTTTTAAATGATATTGAGAACACATATTGATCTTTCAGGTGAATCACGAGATCTATCCTGTGACTACATATAGTTACTTATCAACATTAATACTTGTGTTTCTGATCACAGATTTTATTAGATATAAACCTATCATAATACTCTGTGGTCTTTCTGGTAGTATAACTTTTCTTCTAATAATACTCGGGAAAATCGTGCTGATTTTACAGATTGCTAAATTCTTTTTCGGCTTGTTTATGTCTGCCGAGGTGGCTTATTATACTTACATTTATGCTAAGGTAGATAAAAAGCATTATCAAGAGGTCACAAGTCACACTAAAGCAGCCTCTTTATTTGGGCGCAGCATATCTGGTGTTGTAGCACAGTTAACAGCTTCCTTTGATTTGTTAAACTATCATCAACTTAATTATTTAACTCTTTCAGGTACGTAAAATAATATAGGTTTAAAATATAAGTTACATGTATAAATTTTAAATATTTATCATGATATATTTAAGTTTACATAAAATTTTACAGATGAAAATTTTATATAGATAATTTGTATGAACTATAAACAATTAAAATCGTTCAATGAGGAAAGATTTTTTATTTAATTTTATACATGTAACATTTTATAAACATTTATATATAATATAAAACATATTTAGGTAATATATATTTTTTATACTACATTTTACATATTGTAATATATTTACGGGCTATAATTTTCAGCCATTGGCACTGCGACAGTCTGGTCACTCTTTTTGCCTCCTGTGGGTCAGTCAATTTATTTCCATCGCGTTGACGTTTCCAATAATGAAGAGATTTCATCTACTACTGTACAACCGACGATCGATCAATTACAACAGCTGAGTAATTCACAAAAATCGTGCGACAAAAATAGCAAAATGAAGCCAAACACATTGCTTCATAAGATAAAGAATGCGTATGCGCTGCTGTGGAAACACTTTGTGCTAGCCTACACTAATTATCGTGTGATCAAGTGGTCGGCTTGGTGGGCTTTGTCTACCTGCGGTTATCTTTTGGTCGCCACTTATTCGCAATTGCTTTGGCAAACTGCGGTGAAGCCGGGTGATAGGATTTATAATGGCGCTGTGGATTTTGCATACGCGATCGTAGGTAAGGGAAAAACACTCTTGATATAATAATCTTATTTAAATTAAAATCGACACATGAAATTGGAGAGGAAAGGATAAAAGTATGAAACGCGCCATCTCAATTAGTCAAAACGCAGTGACAGAGTTTGAGCGATAAAATTTAATAACAAGACAATCTCTTATTGTTTATGTACACTCTACCGGCAGGAATGCCTGGACACATAATACATATACATATACATGTACATATATGTCATATACATATCAAAATGTCCAGGCATTCCTGCCGGTCAGTGTACATATACAAGACAGGAATTACAAGACGGGAATGTCCTATATAATCCTTATTTTGGACTTTTTAAAATTATAATGTAAATTAAACGAATTAAGTAAACGTATATAATAATATAAATAAATAACGTAAATAAATAATATAAATTTTAATTAAAATTAGGTAACAGACATAAAAAAATCGCAAATTATGCGAAAATCTATGTAAAAAGATTTTAATGATAAAATAACACTGAAATAAGTACGCGCACAAGATCGAATAACATAAGATAGATAACTTACTGATGAAACGAAGACAATTGCAAACCTGAACATGGTTACAAAACACGGAGGAGTGCAGTAAGACATAATTAATCAAAGTATGCGTAAACGGACACCAGTCTGTCTACGTATGCTCGCGTATCGATCGTATAATCACGTTCGATACACGAAGAAGATACACCAACGAACTGGTATCTGCTTACGCACACTCGTTCTCCGTGCTTCGTAACAATATATACGAGTCTGTAACTGTCTTTCTGACTGCCTTAAATATTTTTATTTTATTTTTATTTATTTTTTGTTTATGAACTAAAATGAATTAAACTGAATTTTTTTAGGGATGAATATCTTATACGTTTGCGAAATACGCATTAATACTTGCTAAAAAATAAACAAATAGAATAAAATTATAATAGTTTTATTCAAAAACAGATAATTGATATAAAAAGTACAAGGGATATATAACAAGATAACAATAAGCATGTGAACCTTTTACTAAATTACTCAACATGAATTTGCATCGATCTAAGCATATATAATTAGAGAAAATGTTTAAAGTAATCAAATTATAGTAATATCTGTAGATATTATGTAATCTTAAAATCAAGAAACATAATTGTGCTGAAGCATAATGATGTGAGTTACATTATATCCATTATCATTATATTTTATTAATTTGTTAATTGTTCATTGTCTTGTGCAACTATATAACCTTGATTTTCTAATCGTTTGTAACTTATCTTCAAGATAAGCTTACAAGCGAATAGTATTTAATTTGTGTTAATAACCTCGATAGATATTTCCTTCAATCTATTATACTACAGATAAAACATTTTGTCCAAATTATCAATCTATTTAAATATTTTGATAGAGAACAGATTAAAAAATAAACAAATAGAATAATTATAATTGTTTCATTCAAAAGCAGATAATTGATATAAAAAGTACAAGGGATGTATAACAAGATAACAATTAAATAATAAGATCAAAGAGCGCAGTTAAAAAAAGAACTAATTAAATTAAATTATATACATTAGGTAAACTTCTCAACAGTATTCTTTTACGCAACTTTTTTTTATCAGGTGCAATAAGCGTATTTTCTGTAGGAAAGATACGGTTCAACTGGGTTCGATTCGGAGACATAATCTGTTCTGTATTCGCATTCTTAGAAGGATCTATATTATTGGCATCTTCTTACAGTTATAACATTTGGCTCTTATACGCCGGCTATATCATATTCGGCGTAATTTACCACACCATGGTCACTGTCGCAAGGTGAATTTCTTAATTAATACAATTAATATCAGAGGATTTATAACAAAAATGACTCTCGTTAAAAAGTTCTTCTAAAAGAAAGAAAAAAACAACAGATAAATTTTACTAAAATGTTGATATAATAGGTTTTATACATATACAATACATACGGTATATATGAAAAATTATATATGAGACAATAATTATGTGATGAAATAAAACAAGGACTTAAATAATCGTTATCTTTTAAATTTTATTATTAAAACAAAAGTTTTTTATGCTGTGTGGGGTATATATGAACTTTACGGTATCTGTCGAAAGTTGAAATAATTTCTTTATTAAATTGCGCATAAGGGAGGAAAAAATGAGATTGTTTGTTTTTGCTTGTTTATAGCTTTGAAGTTGCTAAATGTATATCTGAGGATAGTCACGGCTTAATATTCGGCGTAAACATATTTCTCGCATTATTAATGCAAAGCCTGCTGACGCTTATAGTCGTCAATACGATTATGTTAGATATTAGACAGCAGGTAAGAATTATATGCCGATAATGCATCAAATTTGCATATTTCCTAATAATATTAGTCTTCGCTTTTTAGTTCTACGTTTACGGCGGTTATTTTATGGTCTTGGCTGTGATATACATTGTGCTGAGCATAATCAATGTTCTGCGATATCGCCGAGACATGAATCACATTCAACGACGAATGAGATAACTTTTCATTCTACAGTATATACTAATATAAAACAGGTTGAATAAACTTTTATTAAATTCAACAAAATCCGTTATGCAAACTATTTTAAATCAAAATTATAAACTAATTATAAATTGGAAATTGTTTTATTTTTCCTTAGTACATTTCTCAATGTTGAATTAAACAAATTTTTTATTGTCTAATTGTAGCAACTTTTATTGAAATTAATAAAGTTTTGGAAAGAACCGATTGCATCTGTTATTATATTTATTAAGAAATATGTATTTTTTACAATAATTTTTATAATAGATTAATTAATGTTAGTGATAGGCATATTGCACAATCCTGTCTGCACGTTGTCTTCTGACTAAAAAATATATATCTTGAATATTAATTACATTATTATTTTGAAGGAAGTGTACAAAAAGGAAAAACCAAGGAAATGATCTAGTTTTAAGGAATGCGATGCAACCGTCTGTCGCTACTGATATTATTGTAGTATCGATTTTATTATTTGTATATAGCTGTACAGAAAAATCACGTTTACAATTGTAAAATCGCTTAACGCTCAAGCTCGATTGCGTTGGATTTTTCTCGATAGCGCGATTCTAAACGTGTCATTCTCAATCGCGTTACCATGCATTCTTCCGATACACAACAAGTTTCAAACGATTTCTCAATTATATCACAGAAATACAGACTTTGAATTCGAGTGACAATTTGAAGACATACAATTACAAAACCGTGTTCATAATGGGTGATTAAAAAATTCGTAGAAATCATAAAAAATCTGTGCGTGGACGTCAATTAGAAACGATCGAGTTTTTTTTTTTTTTTTTTAATCACCTCTGACTAATTTCTCAGAAAGAGAAATACATCGACGTTTAAATTATAAATTTACGTTCCTCCAAGCGATACACACGCATATCTTGTTGTCTATTACAATTTTATATACAGTTTTCGTAATTGTTGTTTATAACACTTAAAAACTACTATAAGAGTTAATACGGTGTTATTATAAAATGATTATAGCTATATTTATATTCATAATATCGTCGATCTAAAAAGTGTATAACAAAGTCTACAGCATTTACGACAATAATAATATAATTAATAATAACGAGTAAGCACTCTGGGATTGCTATCGATAACAATTGACATATCCAAAAGTATATCTGAAAATTTTTTATTAGACATTAAAAGTGCAATGAATAAATAAAAAATATCAACAATCAATATAGTTTGTATAGCTTAATATTTGCAAATAGAAAGTAATTATTATCACACGCAAGTCACATACGTTAACGCATTCCTGTTAATATATACATATTACAAAGTTATACTTCAGAAAATAAATATTTGATAAAATGCGATAATGCCGTAGATTACAAAATTGAGACGTTTCCTTAACATCTCGAGAAATACGACACCTCCTTCTCGTTATGTTAGGCACAAATATTTCTATACTACTGAGTAGCATATTCATTCTAAAACGTTTTACAACGCGCAAAATTTTTATTATTTACTAAATTGAAAACTTGGTTTTCAATCGTTTTCAGTAATTAAAGATTTCAACAATTGTAAGATAAAGATCTGCAACTTTGCAATGCAGTAGAAATCGTTTTAGGGCCATTTAGCATCCAAAGAAATAGTCAAAAAGCTACGGAAATCATTTTCTTCGACACTAAATAATCCTAAATCCTTTCTCTGGTGCAAAGTTAACCCTGTCAATGCAATCTTATACTCGAAATTAGCTCTATTTAATATTGATATCAAGAATGCCTTACATAAAATCATAAACCCTTCGTCCCGTGACACAGGATCAAATCTTTGCTCGAGAACATGCGAGTTATCTGAGCTATAAAAAATTTGGAATGGAGATGCAAAAGAGAGTGACAAAACACATGCCACATTCGATTCAATTCGAGAACCTGTAAATCCCGTTTATGCCTAAAACCGATATAAAATCCGTGTATTCTCGATATGTTTCTAGCTATATGCATACGTATATGTACGTTCGACTACTCTGTAATATTTGATATTTAGACCAGCGCCTCCGCTATATCCGTAAATCTCGAAGATTGTCCATAAATTTTTTGTAAACTTGTACTTGTTGCTTTGCATCAGGTATCTGGATCGTTACGTGTATTGTACACGCGCATATTATCGAATGTTCGGAAATTTTTCGATAATATTCTTTCCTAGACATTGCTTCCCAATATCGATAACGTGTCGATCAGCGGTTCTTAGATATATACCGCTTCTCGGTAAAAAGTTACGATAATGCTCCTTGGTTATTGTTAATACGTGTTCTCTCTAAGCATATCTCCAATAATCCTAATTTCAAAACTTCTCGAAATAAAAGATCAGGAATTGTAAATCCTTGCTTCAGTTCTCACGCGGTATCCTTTCGCGGTAATTGTTAATTATGAAATTGCTACTAAGTCTTTCGTATTTTTATATGTGTTTAATTGGTCCGCAGATACCGATCGATGTTAGAATTTCTTTCAATTCTTGTAAAGAGAACGAATCTTATTGCGTTAAAATTATCGAATCTTGAATGTCTAACGTACCGTAGAATAAAATTGCTTATTGTGTATTACAAATTATCAACACGTGCTCTGTTTTCTTTTTCGTCCATAGGTGCGTAAAATGCTATTACTATTGTGGTCCTTCTCCATGAAGTAGAGTGAGTATAGCGTTTCTGAGAGCGAAATTCGGGGTGAAGGAAGTATCGTGCAACGGCTCATTTGTCATCGGACTGGTGTATTTTCCGCACAGGAACCATTCGTTTATAGCTGCCCTTTCGTAAGTAAATCCATCTAGAAATAATTAATCGGCCACAATTAGATTTATCAAGATAGATATTTCGTATAATAGATACTTCGAAGTATTTTTCTGATAAAGAAACACTTCTTTGTGATATTTTTACCTGAGCACTGCACAGGTTCTTTCATTATCTCGTGCGTTATAGGACACAAGAATTCATGGGGAATTTCAGATTCGTCTATATTCTCCATAACATTGCATTCTTCACGCTTCAGCCAATATAATTGCTTCTTCAATATCTCCATCGCCTATAACGATTTTGATATAATGAATTCGATACAATGAGCTAGATAGAATTATCGTAATGTTGTGCATTATACCTCTTCGTCATCTTCGATTTCTAACCGGGATATCAGTTCATTCTCTGACACGGATAACAAATGTCGCCCTGTCAATCCCAGAGCTAATACTTTCCTGGACAATCTAGATAATTCAATGTCGTTCAACCACTTCAAAGTATCATATAGTTTCCAATCCGCGACCTGAAAAAAATTTTGATTACATTCAATTCAATTGTTTCGCTCATTTCGCATAATCTAAAACTGATTCATCTAATTACTGACCCTTTTTTTTTTGTTTCTCAAGCTGTCCATCAAATTACTTTGCGACACCAGTTGCTGAGGCACCTTCCAAACCAGGATAGTCTTGTCCAATGCACCTAAAAATAATTATTGTTGCGGTAAAATATTTTCATGCTTACTGATGCTAATTATATTTAATCTTCTATGCGAAATGTGAGAATAAATAAATTCTGAATACATTTTTTTATTTAAGTTTAAAATTTGTAGAAACAAGATTCGCAAAGTAACAATTTAACTTATATAAGAAAAAGAAATGTACAACTTGAGTATATAGATTGAGTTATATAAATTTGTAATGTTGTGCAATAAATGTAAGTCAAAATAGTTTCAAGACCTGTAGCAAAAAGTGACGTGTCCTCGGAAAATGCACACGACGTAACAAGACTATCATGATCCTCCAAGACGTACAAACAGCTTCCGGAAAACTGAAAGCACATCGATCTTCATAAATATGTCCTCGTGTGTTTTTTAAAAAGCGCAATTGTCTTGATCGCTTACCACGCTCCATATACGAGCTGTTCTATCTGTCGCGACACTACCTAGAACTTCTCCGTGGACGGGCGAAAAACGGACGCACATTACGTTTCCACCATGCCCGGTCAAGGACTTTTTCTCCTTGTAACGCGTTCCGGTGTTCGGTCTAATGCTGTCCGAATCGGGTAATGAATCGTTTGAAATAATTACATGCCACAGTTTAACCAACGAATCGTTGCCGCATGTTGCCAGTAGATATATCTGCTGGTTCACATCCGGGTCTCTTGCTGCAAACAATGCAAACAGCCGATATTTATCGTTGATTTTTATATTTTATATTTTTTTAAATAAAAATTTCTCTAAAGTAATGGATATATATTTATATTAATTTATTGATTTTTTTAAAAGGCTTAAAAGTAATAATTAAAATAGTTTTTTCCTACACGCACTGCACATCAGAGAGCCTGGAGTAGGGCTAAAGTCGCATCCTTGGACACCTAGATCGTGACTCGCATCGCAAACCATCAATGCTTCGGAACCATTCTTCTCGTCTAGAGTATCGAAAAGACGCCAGGTGCCCTCATTGCACGCGGTCACTAAATATCGGGAATCGTGCGTAAATGCAATGGCCGATATCGCATCGGCGTGACCCTCGAAGACACTGTAAAGTTGCCTAACAATTATTATTAACTGTCTAAAAAATATATAATCTATCAAGTAACTTACAAAACTTGCATCAAATTTTACATATATACAATATATATATATATATATATATATATATATATATATATATATACATAAAATTACTGCGCGAAACAAAATCTCTTTATTTAGATAGATTATATTTATATTTGTAACTCAAAATTTATAATTTTAAGATATCTTCGAAATCCGAATTCTCATTTGAGATTCTTATTCAGAAATTTTGTTTCCTAATTACAAATTAGTAATATATTCTATACATAATATTGATTTGTTCTATTATATTGAAGCGTACGTACTGCAACTGATCCATAGTTTCCACGTCCCATAACATTGTCTTCTCGTCGTCACCAGCGGTAGCGATCTTCGTGCCGTCAGGCGACCATCGACTCACGCGGATGCCTGTTCCGGAATTGACGAAAGATGATTTTGCTTGTTCTCCAGTCTGTCAATAAAAAAAAGTGCCAGTAAGAAACACAGCAAAAAATTAAACATATAATGCTATTTGCATTAAAAAACAGTCGTTACTTCTGTGTTCCAAACTAAAGTCGTCCCATCGAGAGAACAGGAGGCAAGCATTGAACCGCACGGGCTAAATTCCACATAATTGACGCTGTAGGTGTGAGCGTCGAGTGGACTGAATGGTTTTTCCTGTATTTTAATCACCTCCTCCCCATCCTCCTCTTCCGTTTCGACGCTCCAAATGCGTACTAGTTTATCACTACAAGTGAAAAAGAATTAAATAATTGAATATGGCTAGTTTTACAGTTTTAAAACTTACCCTGATGCCGAGGCTAAAAGATTATTTCGGTGGAAGGCAACGCTGTTCACCGCACCATTGTGCTCTTCCAATCTTTGAATCAATCTTACTTCGTTAGCGTACGTCTCGACATTTCTCATTAGATCGTGTTCATGCATAGTGCTCTAAAATGGAGAACCTCCGTTAATCCTATTATTTGTAAATTATTATTCGCGACCAGCCTACCTTTTCAGGATCATTCACGAACCACTTCGTTCCAACATTTCTTGACAGTTCCGAATCAATAGTCAAGTTTCCCGCCAAGTCCCACGCGATTACTGATTTGTCGTTAGAGCCTGTAATTATATTAAATGTCAATTGTTACAAAACAAAATCATTAACTTTTTCGGAAATTAGAGATATTACCTGTCGCTAATAAGCTTCCGTCACGTGAAAAAGCGCAGCAAGCTATGTATCGATTGTGACCGGAGATTATCGTTACGACCTTTCCTGAGCTCTATAATTGAATTTAAAATTAATAAAAGATTGATTGCCAAGTTTGAACAGTTAATTTTTCTTCCAAGACAGGTCTCTTACTGTTTCCCAAATTACTGCCGTTTTATCGAGGCCACAGCTGGCAATATATAATCCGTTGCTGCTGAAACGGACGCAAGTTAAGGCACTGCTGTGCTTTTCCATCACTCTGCAAAGCTGTACAGTAGCAGTAGAGGGTTGGGCCTCGCACTTATTCTGGCTCACCGTGACTTCCCACAACTTCACGTCGTGATCGTTGCCGCACGAGACCAGTTGATAAAGCTTGGTGTACGGCTCGTTACCTGCGATAATAATTATGTTACCTATCATGTAGGATATCGTGTCTTTTCTACTTGTCCAAAATAATATATCTGGAATGTTTACATACATGTGACTTCTTGGAAAGTTGAGAAATCGCAGCAAACCACCCCCATGTCGTGAGCATCATCGATCGAGACAAGTTCGGCGATGTCCTGATTGCTAGAGGTACAAGTGTCGATCAGTTCGGCAGTGGAGAACAGCTTTAGGACACCCAACGTACACGAGGTGATCAGCCAGCTCGAGTCCGGCGAAAACGACAGGCTTTGCACGGCACCCTCGTGCTTTTGAAAACACCTTTAAGTGGTAATAATATGTCTCATGATAATTTAATCGAAATGCAAATTGAGGAGCTAAGAAGGGAGTAATATTAATTTGCAAAAAGCCTCGGATATTGGATATTTTCATTAAACTTTTTAAAACAGAGAGCATATCCTCTGTAAAAGGTCTTGCCTGATTAAATTGCGATGAATCAGATCCCAGATACAGACTTGCCCGTTATCTCCAGCGGTCGCGAGTAACGTCGAATCTGGCGAAAATCTGCAGACTCTCACCGCTTCGCCGCCTACTTGCACCATAGTATGTATCTTTGTCCCCGTCTTCGAAATGATATAAATTTACATTAATGCACAAGACAATCGTCCCCGTTTTCGAAATGTAAATTTACATTAATCCAAGATAATAATCGCTAGAAGCTCACTAGTCGTTACAAAGCTTGTTCGTTACTTCGGATTTTTTCACATTTTTAAACCTACACGCAAGTTCCAAAGCAGCGTGGTACCGTCTATGCTGGAGGTGGCCAGCATAGTGGACTGGGGGCTGACCTTGACCGAGGTCACGCCGTACTTGTGCCCCATCAGAGGCGAGAAGTAAGCCTCCACGTAGCCAGTGCCGGGCTGCCATTCCCAAACCCGGACGCGTTTGTCCCTGTGTGTTAAAAGAGAGGAGTGATGCGAACTTAATTCACAGCGCGCCCAGCACCGCGGAATTGTGTGCATATCGATAACCGATATTTACCCGGATCCTGTTACCAGAACGCAATCACCGGCGAAGTCGACGCTGTTTACATCGCTGGTGTAAACTGTCAGAGTCTGCAAGGCTTGAACGTCGCCTATGGCAGTCATGTTTTTTCAGATTAACGGGGTTCTTAGCTGTAAAGACGTATGAAATATTAATCAGCTGTATTGTCACTTTTCAAAGTCAAATCTACTAATATCTACTTTAATGAAAAGTGTACAACATAAACGTTCTTCAATTTCTCCACGGGAAACGATACACACAGCTCGAATATATTGTCGCCTCTTTTTGTCGACGCTGTTAAAGATTGATGAATGCGCGAATTAAGCCGCAGGTGAAACTGTCTATCGATTAAGAACGGAGTTATATATGACACGTAGACATCCATGACAGATACTGAACGTCAGAATATCGACGAGCGCGATATCATATCTATCATTATGTCATAAGCCGTTACTTTGATGATATCAAATGATTATGATTTGTCATAGGCATCTTTAAAATTTATGTATTCCTACGTTAGGGGTATATTCTATCCATAGCTGTGTCACGTGGAAATGTCGCGAGAGGTAACAAGACACGGGACACGGGAAAGCACCTTTAACCTTCGCCTTTTAAACGCTCAGACAAAAGGTACCTTTTCACGTTGACGCTCGACGCTCATTTTCAGCGAGCAAAAATCTTTAGAAATAATATTTTTTATTTATATATAAAAAATATTATTTCTTGGTCACGTGGTTTCGCTTTGACGCTAACGTCAAAGAAATGAAGTTGAATTTGTTCAATATCCAGCGTCGTCGCTGAATCGTCGTTGTCATTGATCATTCCAGTATAATCAAAAATAAACTTCGAAAAGAGAGAGTACGTAAAATATTAATTATTTTCAAGTAATATCTTCAAGTAGTAATATTTTACAGATATATATATCTTATATATATATATAATATTATTTCTAAAGATTTTTGCTGAAGAAATGAACGTCAAGTGTCAACGTGAAAAGGCACCTTCAGACGTACACGCGTCCCTCAATAATACATGTATCCTGAATCGACTGACTGTTCTACAGGTGGGCAAACGTATAAAAGCAGGTCTCTGAAGTTTCTGAAAGTCGGACAGCCCTTGGCATTGACCGCCGCGCGTCAAGGCATTCCGTCGCGATTGATCCACCACGAACATTAGTTTCATTACCGCAATTATGACGATTCAGCATTCAGGGACGATTCGTCTATATTCCATTTTTGTCTGTAGACTAATCGCCAGCAGTCGCAATTTCGTCATTTAAAATTCGTTTGGTCTCGAACAAGACGAAGTCGCCTGACTCTTTTAGGGCGCCAGGGAAAGTTCTAAGAGCCGCGCTGATAATTTCTCCAGTTACCTGCATACACATCGGCCCATTCTGTTTTTCATTATGTACTTCGGAATCTATTATGAGCGAAATGGCAATTTTCGCAATATGTAGAGACAGCAGCGTTAGACAGTGGCGCGTGCGAGCTCTATATCGCCAACGCTGACGTGTATGTACATAAAAGCCATCGATTGCACTTATCTGTTCCATCTACGAATGAACGCAAACATTACTGCATCATTACAGCCTCGATGGGTATCGCGGTTCAAAAAAGAAAATAGCTCGCTATATAAAGCATCCGTTGTCCACCGTTTATAATTAAATAATCAGATAAGGGCACGGCACACGGGTCCCGGCGCGGCAAATGATACGTTCGCGATGGAACTGTAACGATATAAACAAAAATATATTGTTCGCGCACATACGGCTGATAACACGCGATGTTACTTATCTATTTTGCGCGCCAATACCTAACGTCTGCAGCGAAATGGATTATATTTATTTGAAAAAAAAAAATCGAACTATATTGCATGCGACATATGCGACTAACGTCGCTGCTTCGTTTGTATCACGCAAATTTAGAGAAATCTGTGATAATAATGTCACGTTATAATATACAAAATACCATTAATGATGCAGTTATTCTAATCCCGTAATATGCGAAATTACTAATCATGTGAACTTCATTTTACGTTATAAAAACATAAATAAGTATATGAAGGGGAAATTAGAAATCTTGTAGAACGTGAAATTATATTAGTCGTAAACTTCATGTTATGAAAATATAAATGAGTACATAGGAGGAAATTACAAATCTTATAGAATATTACATTATGTTGACTGTAAATTTCGTCATGTTACGAAAATATAAATGAGTATACAAAGAGGAAATTAGAAGGCTTATGGAATATGAAATTATATTAACTGTAAACTTCAACATGTTATGAAAATATAAATGAGTTATACATACGGGGAAATTAGAAATCTTATAGAATACACAAAATTATGTTGACTGTAAATTTCATCATGTTATGAAAATATAAATGAGTATATATAAGGGGGAAATTAGAAATCTTATAGAATACGAAATTATATTGATCATAAATTTTACTATGTTATGAAAATATAAATGAGTATATAAAGGAAAAATGGGAATTTAAATCTTATAGAATACGAAATTATATTAACCGTAAATTTCATCATGTTATGAAAATATAAATGAGTTATACATAGGGGGAAATTAGAAATCTTATAGAATACACAAAATTATGTTGACTGTAAATTTCATCATGTTACGAAAATATAAATGAGTATATATATAAGGGGAAAATTAGAAATCTTATAGAATACGAAATTATATTGATCATAAATTTTACTATGTTATGAAAATATAAATGAGTATATAAAGGAAAAATGGGAATTTAAATGTTATAGAATACGAAATTATATTAACCGTAAATTTCATCATGTTATGAAAATATAAATGAGTATATAAGAGAGAAATTAGAAATTTTATAGAATGCAAAATTATATTAGCCGCAAATTTCATCGCGTTACGAAGAATATGAATAAGGGGGAAAAAAAAAATATATATATATAAGAAGAAAAATAATATTATATATGAAAGGGAAAATTAAAAATCTTATAAATGCACTGTAAGTCGGTGTCAATCGTCAATCGTCACTCGTCAAACTGAAATCGACTTCATCTGTTCACGTTCGAATAAGACGCCGGCGTTTACCGAGGAGTTAAATGACTTCAAAACACCGTCAGTATTAGTCGTCTCACCGACGTAAAAATAGCCATTTAATAATAATTCATCCGTTACGGCTCGCGTGGGTGGCGAGCCGTTATTTAATCCGTTATCACAAGCCAATGAACCTCTCAATTAAATTATTGACCAACAGTAAATCAGGAGTCGATCAAGCGGAAAACAAATCGACGCCTCGCCGAGGGGGATCCCTCCCTGCTAAATATACATTTGTTTTAGAATCGTTACCAGTTCTATCTTCCCAACTTTGTGTACGGCGGACGGGGCGGAAACGTCGTTCGCGTCGGTTTCCGTCGGCTATCTCTCGTTCAGGCAAACGAGAGACAATCGTCGTTTCTCCGCGTACTTACTCACTCGTAGCAAAGGCACATGTTCCAGACACTAGTCGACGGCTTTCGGCGGTGCCTCTCCGTCGCTCTCTCCGTCAACGACGAGCACACACGCGGCACATGACGTTTCTCGCGTCCGTTGATTCCTCCGAGAGAGCTTTTACGCGTCGCGAGACGGTGTCACATTATTTCCCCGCGATCAACATAGCCGCTCCTGCCGACGAGACACTTCAAACAGGATACCCCGGACAGGGCACCTGTCACAATGAAGTTAAAAGCGCTAAACGCATGTCCACTGACCGCTCAGATCGATATTACAGAGGCGTAACGCGAGATATAAACTGCCGGGCTCACGCGCCGCAAAATGTTACATCGACATGTAAAACTGTCTCTCTCCGTTCCGTCTTCTCTGTTTTTTTCCTTCCGCAGCCTCGCCGAGTGGAGATAATTTACGCCTATCCGGCATTACGCAATCCCTCGGCGGACTGAGTAAATTGTTTTGTTATTCGAGGGAGCGCTATAAATTCGCACCGGCTAGGCTGTTGCGTTTTTCGTTTAACACATATATCTGCAAAATCTATATATATATATATATATATATATATATATATACACGTATAATTGTTAAGATATTTACATTGTACGTTTATTGCGCCAGACTAGAGACCCTTTACTAGAGACTGGCCAACTTTAGGAATGCGACCACAAAATGGCGGCGAAGTCATATGTGTGTGTGTTAATACATGAACTCGATATATGTGTGCGCGCAGCGCGCGTTTGCTTATCGCTGTCATCCGTTGCACGTGAATTCTGCGCTTCTGTTAGAGCTAAACAACCTAGCCCGAATGTGTGTGTGTGTGTGTGTGCTTTGCAATTTAAACAAAATTTAAAGATTATCGCCATATCAAAATATTTAAAGCCAGTAGAGGTAACTCTAGCTATGAAGAAGATGATAGAGTTATTGCTGGTGATTTTTTAAGTAAGCCCAAAACAAAAGAAATTACAAAAAAATGCCACTTGTCCCTGATTTTTCCACAAAGGTCATAAACTTAGGAAACATTGAAATATATGTGTTGTACTACATTGCCGGATATATTCTCTCCCGTATTTTAATATATAACGTTGTGTGTGAATTAATTGTGTTTAAATTCCGCTGGATCTGTCACATACAAACCGATTTCAGAATGTACAAAATTCGTTCAGTTAAAATGTTTTCAACGTAATACGCTTTTTTTTTGTCAATAACAGAACATTTGAATACTTTTATGAGATGGAAATTGTTATCAGGCAATATCTTCCATACTTAAAGAAAAATTTTGATGCGAAAAAATATGATATGGTAAATTTTTTTAAAGAAAAAATGCAGTGCATTCAATGCGATGCGTTGAAAAACTGCCATAATAACATACAATCTAAAAAATAATGATGCATTTCATTAGGTTTCGACTTCGAATAAATAATTCCAAAGTCCAATTACCGAACAAAGTTTACAATAGTAAAACCATGGCTATGCATGCGATAGTACGGTAGTTCAATTAACTATTTATAGCTATATACAAAAGAAAATAAATGTATAAAAGAGTTTAATTAAATATTTAATTTAACTTTGTGTGTCATTTAAAAAATTAAACTTGTATTCTTTTATTTAACGTATTTAATTCATGTAATTATTTACTGGATTATATTTTATTTTACATATATATTGTACCTGCGTTAAAAATAAAAATAATAAAAACAAAAATAAAAATAATTACCAAACAATGTTTTTTCTTTCGGCATTATATTATTTGTAATTACTATCAATTGATTCCCTATTATTTAACAATATGTTATTTCACTTACGAAACATTTTTCAGGACATACATTTATACATCACTATATTCATATATATTTACATCATTATTTATACACTAGTTTATACATCATTCATCAGCGATAGCACTATACATTCGGAGTACAAGCGTATTTCAATCCAAATTTTATACCCCGTTCGCGCTCCGTCAGCAGCGTTCCTTATTGGCGCTGTCATTTTGTGGGCCCAAGTCACGTGCACCGATCACGCGGAATCATCGAATGGCCAGTCTCTAGTAAAGGGTGTCTATATTGCGCGAGACGAGCCTGCAGCGGCATAAATTCCAATTATTTTTTTCTTCAATTATCTCACCATGCAGGAGCCTGTCGGCAAAGAAAAGCGACGTAAATTTAGAAAAACTGAAGTAGATTATTGCAAAATATATTTCATACGTGGCAAGTGCGTCGCGTCCACTTCGCGATAATTAATCCCAATTAATCCAGGTTTACCGGGTCCCGAGGTATATGCGCCTCTATAAAATTCATCGAATCTCAGGCCCGGGCCCTGGGAGCGGCGCTCGCTGTTCCTGGGCGAGGCGCATGCGCAGACCGCGTCGGGGCTGGAGCACGTGAATCGCGAACGGCATGTGTGCAGTGCAAAGTTGTAAACATGACAGCCGACTCTCTGGCCGAGATCGCCGGGGAGACTCAGCGTTGTTCACGGATTTTCTGAGACGGTTTGGTGGACCCGATGCCGCTTGGCAGCAAGCCGGCGTGCGTCAAGTGCGGGACTCGCGAGACCGCTCTGTGGCACTCCACCGACGCCGGTAACTTGTGCAATGCCTGTCTGGAGGACGAGCGGAACGCCGAGGCGGGCTCGTCCTCCAGGGCGGACGAGGAGGCGGACAAGAGTGGCTCGTTGAAGCCCAGGAGGAGCACGCGGATCACGAGGTATTGCAACTCGAAGGCGACGGGGCCGCACAGAATTGTGCCCAAGGGCAAGGGTCGCAGGAACCTGTTTAAGAAAACGGTGAGTGAGCGAGAGATACTCCTCCAACTTTTGCAACGAGAAGCATGGCAGGGTCTCCTCGAAGAGACGCGTAGAATCGTCGTGCAGTCGCTTATATCTAATTGTTTTGCTCGCAGCCGGTCAAGGCACCTACAGCCACCGCGACTCCGGTCACCAGCAACTTTGTGTTCTACAAGGGCACGTATTTTCAAGTCGGAGATATAGTCTCCATGCAGGACGTAGACGGTGGGATTTATTACGCCCAGATACGTGGCTTGTTGACGGATCAGTATTGCGAAAAGAGCGCCGCTGTTACCTGGCTGTTGCCCACCACAGCGAGGTGAGATTCTTTGTTCCATTAATTTCGTCAGACTACATCATAATAATGTTATGCAGTATTTATCAATGTTAATCTCAATATTTTAATATCGATATTAATGTTACCTGATATATCTTTTAGCCCTCCACCGGAAGAAGGCTTCATTCCCGAGACGTATATAATCGGACCGGAGGAAGATTTACCTCGTAAATTGGAGTGCATGGAATTTGTAATGCATGCTCCGTCTGACTACTTCAAGTTGAAGAACAGTCCCTATCCACCTCCACTCACGGAGAAGGGAGCGGGCTACATATGGACAACTCTTAGAAACGAACTGGCTATATCTAAAAAATGACAGTAATTCTTCATCGACAGTAATTCTTCACGTGTCGTTAGTGTCGCTCTAAACTTAAAATAATTTCTATATGCAAATATTTTTTTTTTATACTTTTATTATACTTTTAGTCGTGTGTATTATTTTAATTAAGAATGCTTAGACTGTTGAATTACGAAAATGCATAGGACTCACAATACTTGACATGACGAAAATTTGATGTACGCTGAATATATCGCTGTATAATATAGAAATGATCTTGCGAAAAACAATACACATTTATAATAATGCCATTTTATTTATTAAATATATCTTCATTACAATATAACATTAATGCTTTGTGTTTTCAGTGAATAACTGTGGACATGTATTTTTTACATGTAACGGAACGCGGAGCCTAGATTACTAGATTGGACAATCGTAAAGTTGCCAATACCATAGTTGAATTCGTGAACCTTTGACATCGTTTTAATATATCTCCTATCATACACGTGTAAAAAATTTAAGAAACATCCTCTCGTCTTACCCAATTTCTTTCTTTATTCAGTATTCAAAAGTTTCCCGAAACTGGTTTTTTCCCTTGTAGTTTATACTCTTTTTTTTTTGCCAGAAGAGCCGTGATTCGAGAGAGATAGCGGTTCATCCGTGGCCTTTAACTCTGGTATCGTTGAGACGGGATATACGCGGAGGTAGCAGGCAGCATTGGTGCGTTCTCGCTTGCTTGAAGGGAGGGGAAAAGTGTCCTCGGTGCGACGGCGGTGTCGGTTACGCTCGGGATGACAGTAGTGACCAGTCAGCTGGGTGCCAACGAGGTGACGGCTGGTCAGAATTTGAGATCTTTTATGGCTTGCGGCAAGTCAGGCAGCTTCATATCCTTTATTTGTTGCGGTATATTCATGTTCTTCACCGCCGAGACAGCACGCGCGGGCGCTGCTGTGATTCCCGCCTGCACACACCATACGGATGGAAGAAGTGCGGAGAACGGACATGTTTCAAGGAGGACTCAGGGTGAACGCAGGGGTGAAATTTTTTAGCTGGGAGCGAAGGGCAAATGACGGATGACTACACGGCGTCGACGACATTTATTACTCTTATAAAGCGACATTATGACATTTACATCATGAAGGCACTCGGTTTATGCAGCGGACAATTACAAAACAGAAATGCATCGCCATGCGTGTTACGCAAACGCTCACGCTTTATTAAAGCTACGAAGGACTTTGCGCTGTCTACAGTCTTGGATAAGGTAAAAAAAAAACGAAGAAAAGTAAAAAAATAGACGAATCACAAATACAGATACGCGCGGGAATGCGACATTGTACAAAGTGGCCTGATTTACTTAAGGAGGGGGTCCCAGAAGGACAAACGGACGGGGTGAGCAAGACCGCCCAGATTTGTAAGTCCCCTAAAATTGATGTTACGTCAATCAGTCCTACCTGCCACCACATCGGGTATCTTCTACAAATCGCTGTACCGGTTATGCATGCATATAGCTAAAGCGCTCAACGGACCGTTTAAGCGATTAACGATTTTCAAGCTCAGTGACAGAAAATAAACGTATATTGCAAAATTGGCCGTACTAGCTTGAAACATATAAACGTTAACGTTCTATCTCATGAAATGGGCAATGAGAATTTGTGGGACGTAAGAAGTTAATACAAGTTTGTGCGTCGCGATCGATAATCCTGACTGTGAGTTCGTTACAAACTTATTACAGTCGTAAAAGTCAAACTCGTTCAGTATATCCGAGTCGAGAGCACAAATTTTGAAAGAATTTTGAAGATCACAGTCAAGGTGATATCGGGACTGTAATAACAGGCCGCACTTACCTCTTGCTTCTCCAACTTGTTCTGATCCTCGATCCTCGTGAGAATCTCGGTCATGTTGGTCTCGAGGACCATACCGCCCATCACTAACTCATTGAGTATGTAATGGACTTTGTCCACGTGAAAAATGAGATCAAGCTCGCACACGTTCTCAAAGCATTTGTCCAGGGTCTCGACAAAGACCTGTATCAGGTCTAGGATTCCCAGTTCCGACTCCGAACTGTCGACGCAGAACACAAAGTAGAGCGTCGCGTAATGCCGATAGATCAGCTTGTAGTCGGATCCGCCGATCAGACTACCGCCCTCCAAGAAATTGCACACGTTGTCGTCTCTCTTCGAGACCAGCTGAAACGTCTCTTTTATTATCTGCTGCTGCATATCCTCGTTCTGAAGCAGAAAATATGCGGTCTTGTGTCGCAACGATCCATATGTTCGCGTCTTCCTATCGCGTTCCACGCGGTTGCAATTTGCTCGGCGGATATCTCGACGCCGAATTTACGTCGCGCGTCGTCTCCAACGCAGATTTCATTATAATTCGTTAAATAAAAGAATTTAATTTGCAGAATTTACGTGCGGTAAGTGGAAGAGATTCAAACGGCATCCAACGTATACTTACGAAGTACTGATAAAACTTGGAAAGCCGAGGTTTCCCATGATTATTGAAGACCAGGATCGCCTTAATCATGTCTGTATATGTTCGGAGTCAGTTGGCTTCGCTCGACCTTACGGTAATCCTGTCGTTACGCTCGGAGCGCACGGTCATTGGTGCGCGAGAGGTTATGTTCTACGACCGCGACTGTCCTCCGATCGGTTTAATCCTCATTACTTCTTTCCGGTGAGTTGGAGATAACTCTGTGTGTTATTCAATAATTGATAACTAATAATGGAGAGAAAAATTCTGATAAGGTTAGCTGTCAATAACTGTCAACGTGTCTGTCAGCTTCAGACGAGTATCAGTCATCAGTCTATAGTGCCCTTTTTCTTTTTTAATCGCTTCTGCACTCTTGCCGCTCTCCAGCACTTTCTGCACCGCATCGAAAGGGAGAGGGAACGGTGC